GGGGGGGGGGGGGGGGCACATCTGTATCAGCATCTGAACTTCTACAACTTGCAGTAGTTTATCCTTTGATGCTGGCTAATAACGGCATTAGTACCTTCTATCAATCTTCCTTCCCGTTCTATTAGACTATTACCCTCTTACTTTCAAAAATTTCTACAGTAGCTTAGATTGTGCAACTAATTCTTATTTTTTTCTCTTACATTTGCTAGGATCTTGAAATCGGAGTGAAGGTTTCACAGTACCCTTCAGAAGAGAACTCAAATTTTTTGCCAGTATTCCGTTCTGGAAGTTGTGCTGAGAAAGGACCCAAACAGTACATGGAGGATGAACACGTCTGTATAGATGATCTACTCAATCATGTTGGTGACATGGCAGGTCTAACTTCACCAGGGGCGTTCTATGGGGTGTGTAGCTTTTCTACTTGTCTTTTGGGTGGTATAGCTGTAACGCCACATGTCATTACCTCCTGCACTTTATCAGCCTAAATAAACTACTTTTTGTGTTCGATCTTCTCTCCTCATTTACTTAGCCTTAGGTTGAAACAACTTCTAGTTTATTTTCTGTTGGATGAAATTAGGAATTAGCTTAAGCATTTCGTAATTCGAGCAAATTACCGGACTTTGTTTGATCAGGACAAGTGTGAAGGACTTCAAATTGATCTTAGCTGTATATTTTTGCCAAATCAATCAAATTTGCAAATGGAGATATCAGGAGTGAGCATTTTGGGCTTTATTTTCTTTGTAACTGATCACGCGGGAAGAGACTGTTGTGCTAAGCAAACAATGACCAAGTATATGTTGAGGGCAAAAGCAGAAGGAACACGAAATAGAGAAGAATCAGGAGCTTGTTCAGAGCTCACTAAGAAATATTTGTCGAATAGTCACATATAAGGCAATGTATAGAATTAATCTTAAGATGATTTTATGAATTTTATTCTTTACTGCAATATCTCCATCCATTTTTAAAACTACAACAGTATCTGAGTTTTCATCCAGAAAGGACTCAAAAACTCGTCCTTTGTTGTACACCAAGCAACTGAAGCACCAAAATTATCTTATGTTTTGAAACGTCGAAAGCTTTTTAGTGCATACTCCTTGAAAGAACTCTGAATAGTCTGGACCTTTTTTTGATATCTTTTAGATGTATCAAAATTCTAGAAATTCCAGGACAAAAGAAAAGAGAGATTCAAGAAAGACAAAACTGGCTCAAATTTACTCTGCATGTAAATTAAAGCAATCTTGAAATTTTTAATTGTTGCCTAACTTTGCTTTATTGTGTTTATCTAGGATGCATCATAAGTGATCTGAACCTGTTAAGCATGTGACAGATGGAAACTGTTTGCATTCTTTTAAGTTTCTAGATTTGAACAAGGTTGTTTGAGTGAATACTTTTCTAAGCAGGTATTTGATGGCCATGGGGGTACAGATGCAGCACTATTTGTTAGGAATAACATTCTCAAGTTCATACTTGAGGACTCTTGTTTTCCCCTGTGTTTGGAGAGGGCACTCAAGAATGCTTTTCTGAAAGCGGACTATGCCTTTGCTGATGATAGTTCCCTCGACATATCCTCTGGCACTACAGCACTGACAGCTCTAATGTTTGGAAGGTTAGTAAGTCTGCATCTTTATTGTCTTTATGTTCTTCCATCTGGATTTCTCTTGTTGAAATGAAAGATAATCCCCCAGTTCTAGTGACTGCTGATGTTTCTGACACTTCTTAGAAAAATGTACTTACGGAAGGGAAAAATAAGATCAGAATCTCTTTCTTTTTCATTGGTCAAGTTTATGTTATTTATGGAAATGAATGAGGATATTTATTGGAGCAGCATATATCAAAAAATAAATGAACTGCATTGATTTTCTTTCCATGCTTAAAGTTCAAAACTATGTTGATATGCATATACCTACCATTCATTCATACTACTGCTAATGTAACCATCAATATGGGTCTAATTGTAGAAATTAATCCAATTCTAGGCTACTATAAATATGCTTCACAAACTAGTGCCAGTGTGCTGTGCAAATTGCCTGGTCTGTTTCTTTTCTTCTAGATTCCTACAATAAGTGCAAATGGCTTAATATGTCAAGTTTCTTTATCATAGCTTGATCAAATTTTCCTTTCAACAAAGTTCGTTGTTTAGTAGTGTATAACACGATTTGATCTTTTGCAGAACCATGATGGTTGCTAATGCAGGTGATTGTCGCGCCGTGCTTGGGAAACGAGGTAAAGCAGTTGAGCTGTCCAAGGACCACAAACCAAATAGTACGTCTGAAAGACTTAGAATAGAAAAACTTGGAGGAGTCATATATGATGGATACTTAAATGGACAGTTATCTATAGCACGTGCGTTAGGAGATTGGCACATGAAGGGCCCAAAAGGATCTGCCTGCCCGTTGAGTGCAGAACCAGAGTTGCAGGAAACATTGTTGACGGAGGATGATGAGTTCCTTATCATGGGTTGTGATGGTCTTTGGGATGTTATGAGTAGCCAATGTGCCGTTACACTGGCCAGGAAAGAACTGATGTTGCATAATGATCCTGAAAGATGTTCAAGAGAATTGGTCAGGGAAGCCCTCAAGCGCAACACATGCGACAATTTAACAGTAATAGTCATTTGCTTCTCTCCAGATCCTCCACCTCGGATAGAAGTTCCTCAGACTCGAGTTCGTAGAAGCATATCAGCAGAAGGACTGAATCTTCTAAAAGGAGTACTGGAAAGCAACTCATGAGAAAATTCTGGGAAATGATCAGAACACCCCTCTTACCGATAGCCATTTGGAAAGACAGATGGTAACTGGTGAGGGACATTTTTATCGCCCACCCCCACCCTGCAGCAGCAGCAGCTTCCTCGTTATGGAAATTCACTCAGGCTTGTTGGCAGGTTTTAATTTATCAAAGCCCGTTGTTGTGGATGTGTTGTATCAATATAAGATATACTTACTGTATAAGTTCCAGCTCCTTTTTCTTGTTGTACAGATTCCAAAACCAACTCCTTGTTTATCTCCCTTCTAGTGAATTTACTAAGTACCATTAATTATTAGTAGTAGATTCTTTAACGCTTTAAAAACTAAAATGTATTCATTTTTTAATAATATCTGATACTGCACTATAGAGCTTTCTTATGATGCAAAAGCTAATCCAATCTAATAACGGTATGCTGGAATTACTGAACAAGTGTAGACTGTTAATGGCTTTGATGCCAAAAGTGAAAATACAAAATAATAAATTTAAACATAAGAGAACAAATGCTACCTACATACAAGCCTAATCTGACATATCCTCGGCAAATATACCAACAGCAGTTACTTCTAGGATTAAATTTGAGATTAGTTTATTTTATATTTGGTTGGGATAAAATCGTGGTATAACTAATCCTTGATTAGTTATCCCGGGATTGTAGTAACTTTTCATCCCCATGGGAGGGTGGATGACTAATCTCAGGATAACTAGTCCCGAAATAATTAATCATGGATAACTAATCTCGGGATATCTGAACCTAGTACTTTCGAAGCGGAGCATACATATATATGTAAAAATCACTAAAATTATAATAAATACGATATGAACCCAGAACTTTAAAATATAATGGGTTTAATGTTAAAAACTTTAAATGTTGAACCCACGGAATTAAAATCCCAGTCCGCCTCTGCTCGTGATCATTACTTGAGATTGTCATATTCTTGTAAACCATGGAGATGTGTCATGCTCTTGTCATAAAATTCTGGCGGTTGACATATATTTTGTGTAATTAACCGTAAAATTCTAACGGTAGCCATATTTTTATGTAATTAGGCACAAAATCCTAACCGATCACTAGAACTATTTGTATTGTGGTTGAGATTTCTGGTGATCGTCATAATTCTTGGTACTCCAAAATTATGATCAGCCTGCTTTAAAATTATGACGCATGGCTATGTTCTCAAAACCTTTCTTAATAAGGTCAATATATAAACAATAGTTTTAAAAAGGTCCTTCCAACATAATTTCGCCTGGAAAATGCACAAAGTTTTCTCTTTGAAACCATGTTTATATTTTGTTCTTGCTATAAAGACATTTACATACATAGTTGCTTTCATCTCGTCTCTCCTTCTCCTCCTCTTCCTATTCTATTTAACTTAGCATATGATAAAAAGTTGAACTCATATATGCTTGGGTTGTTTTTATTACACAGATAGATTGTGTTGATTCAAGAAATAACCACATACGTAGTTGTTTTCATATTTTGAGTTATATTTGTAAACTTTTAAAAACATGGAAATTTAAAACATGGCCAAAATATAAACATTGGTCTCAAAAGGGGCTATATGTGCACTTCAGCCAGAAAAATGCAACAAAAATTTGGGCTCATTTTGTAATTGTCATTTACGTGCAAAGCGAAAGAAGAGAAGAGTACTCAGGAAGTCCCCGCCACAATGAAAATGAAAATAACATCTTTCCCGCCAAAGCCAAAAAACTCACAAAATACACGAATCCACAATTAGTTCGACATCGCACAAGCCGTCTCCATTGCAGGAATGAAGAATTATAAGTCAGCACCACCGCCGTTGGCGACTCAAAGCCCTAAATCCTCAAAACATGTGGTGCATATTGGCGGCATTCCGGTGGAGTTCCCATACCAACCCTACGGTACACAGCTCGCTTTCATGAATCGAGTCATTGCGACACTTGATCGAGCACATAGAGAGGGTCGCTCTCACGCGCTGCTCGAATCTCCCACCGGTACTGGAAAGTCGCTGTCCCTGCTTTGCTCAGCTCTTGCTTGGCAACAAAAATTCAAGTCTAAGAATCTTAATCTTTATTCTCATCTCTCCCATTCCAAACCCGATCCTCAAGCCGTTGCCGATCCTATTGGTCATGGCGGCGGTTTTATTCCTGAAACGCAGCCCTCAGGTACTTAATTTCATTCCGTTATTACTGACTTGTAAGATAAACAACAATTCAAGTGCTCGAAGGCAGATGCTGATTCAACATTCAATTTTTTTGCCTCTGCAGGGAACCCGGATACAACATCATCGGCTGCAACTAATGGGGAGAACAATAAGAAAAATGTGGCGCCTAAAATCTTTTATGCCACGTAAGATTAATTTTTTTTCCCACAGCTTTTTTTGGATTAACATCTGGACCCTATGTAAAATTGAACCCTTAGAGGTTTAGAAGGCCATACACGATGAACCAAGGCTTTAGCGTGTGTAGTTAAATCATTCTAGAAGCAGCAAACTCTAGGGAAAGTAATTGGCAGAATTTATGTATTGAAAATCAGGTCATCTTTTTCTTCTTCTTTTCAAATGTGATTCTCCATCACACACACGCACATACACACTAGGACCAAGTAGGTGATTCAAAAGCTTCACAGACCATTGGGTCTCCAAGGAGGATAAGAACCTTCAAACCATATATTATGTTTTGCACCAAAAAGAGCTAGGTATAAATACTCAGTCTTCAATTTGTGTACTACTATGTGTTTATCTGTAAAGCATCTTTGACTCTCACCGGACACGTCATGCACATAGGTGCCATTCCTAATTATTCTTTTCATTCCGTCCACATTGCATCCTCTCCATGCTGCTAGCATATCTTCTAATGTCCTTGGCATTACCCATATTATAATTTCATATGCCTGATTCTGTAATTTAGTATACTTGGACCATTGTGACTTTTTCTGCACTTGGATAATATTCTTAGGAGGACACATGCACAAATTGCTCAAGTGATTCGGGAATACAGAAAGACAAGTTATCGGGTGCAAATGGCTGTGCTGGTGGGTTTTCTTTTTTCCTGTTAGTAAGCTATTATATTCTTTTCCAATCTTAGTTTCCATGTAATCATGTTTATGGTTATACCTATTCCCATGGCTATCATTAGTCCCTAGTGCTTAGTTCAAGTGTCAAGGGTTGAGGGACTTGTGATTTAGGTCACAGGTTCGAGCCTTACGCCATGCTAACTAAGCTTGGTATATAATTGGAAAAGGGTAGATAGGAAGGCTCATTGATCCTAAGGGTCGGTTGCAGATAATATCTTGGTCAATAATAAAGAAAGAAAATATGCCCATGGCTATCAAAAGTGTATAGTGAATATAATGGAATTAGGTTATTACTCCCTACATGTATATAGATGCAGACAGATACACACATGTGTATATGCATACGTGGCTTAGGAATTACACTTGCTAAAATTTTCTTGTATATTCCTACCTATTGCTAATATATACGGTCATATCATGTGAGAATAAATTCTTCATTGGTAATGAAAAAAAAGAAAGAAAATGAACAAAGTTGCATATGCAGGATGCTAGAATCTGCAACTGTTAAGGCTCCTTTCGCTTGCTATTTCCTTTTGGGTGAAGAATATGTTGCTAAGAAGTTTCAGAATGTCCCTTTATCTTTCTTTCTTTTATTCCTCAAATTTTTCTCTACGAGTACAAAGCAACCCATTTAGGACTTTTGTCTACATTTTCCATTATGTTTTGAGATGGTGGTCTTTTTGGCCAAAGGCAGTAATAAACATGTTTTAGCTGCTCTGATAGTATCCATACTCTTGTTTTATTAAACAATAAATAGCAAATAGAAGATAAGATGCTCAATTTTGATGAGACAATTTGTACATGTTGAACGATGACATGATTGACATGGTTAAAGTGTCCCATATTGGTTGTAGGAATGAGTTGTTGTCTCTTTATATGGTTCTAAGAAATGCTCAATCCCTTAACACTTAAGCTAGCGTTTTTGATTGAGTTAGGTTCAAGGTCCATTTTTCTTGTCATGATATTAGAGATAGACGTATCCTTGCTTAATCTTGATGTTGGGTCCCCAAGTTATGTTATCCACAATTGAAATACACGAAAAAGAGAACTCTTTTGCGGTGCATGGAACCTTTCCCTTGAATGACTCGAGTAATGGAGAGTGACAACTGGGCCTTACTGTGGTAGAACCTCGTGAATTGGGCTTACTTGGGGATGGGGGATGGGGGTTAGAGTGTCCCAAATTGGTAGTAGTCTCTTTATATAATCTTCGGTAATCCTCACCGCTTGAGCTAGTTTTTGTGATTGACTCAAGCTCATGGTTAATTTTTCTTAGTAGTCATGTTTGATTCCAGATACAACTTTAAAGTCTTATTTGTTTTTTTTTTTTTTAAAAAGGAGATATTTGAGGTAGACTAATGAGAGGTACTTGGGGCCAATAATTGGTTTAAGCTAACAACCATACATTGGCTGGGAAGTTAGGATTTGTTGCAAAGAATCATGATTAGTGGCTACACATGAAAAGAATTCAAGTGAAACCATTAGGCAAACAATATGGCAAGATGAGGATAGTCCACAGTATGTAGGTGTGGTGCAAGGATACCTTAATAGAGCTCAAAACCATGATCTATTTCATTGAGACGATTAAGCTGGAATCATGGCTAACAAATTTGAATATGACAATTTTGAGGGAATTGTCAAGTACTTGTGCCTTTGTTGGCAAATATTGCACTTGGAAGTACTAATTAGAAGGACTCCAACAAAATGAATAAGATCCAACAATTAACAACAAATTATAATATAGAGTTTTGGATGTGAAAACTCGGTTCAAGGCACACTATGGAAGCTGTCTTCAAAGGTAGATTTCAGTTGCTACCCAGGTGCAAATAGCAAAGTCACGTCCTACTCTCAAGATACAAAGAACCACTTAGGAATCTTTTAAGTGCAACAAATCAAAGTTTTGGATAACTCTTAAATTGTTTAGCTGTTTTTGTAGGAAATGAGTGTGAATGTGTAAGAGACTCTATAGGAAAGTGAAATGATGAAAGGTCAAAGGATGAAGTCATGGAAACTCAAAATCATACTGAAGTCAAAAGATAATTTCTTGGGCTGGTGCTTTAGGTATTTAAAGAGTGAAATATAACCAATGCACCTTTTAATGAATATATGTGTCCTGCAAAGATGGGATCTTCAGTTAATGAACTAATGTGTTGTACAAAGATTAGATACATCTTTTTAGAAAATGTTGTGCCTTTTCAACAATAGGCATATTAAATTTTGAATCACTAATTTAAACCAGGTTTTCATATTTTAAAGTATAAAACTATCTTTGCTTTTGCTGACTTGCATGGCTAATATATTCTAGTTTGAAATGAAAGAAGGTTATTCCAGGTATTTCACAAGAAAAAGAGAAGCACTTAAATGGAATCAAACCAAACTGAATCACTTTGATAATCAAAGTAAAGAAGGATTCAGAAGCTCTTGTCAGTCTCCATTGTGTATTATAATTTGGATTATTTCATAATGTTCGACTAATATTTTGATCAAATTAGAGAAGGGATTAGGATTAGTAGGATTTGTATGAGATATATGATCTTGATGAGATTGATATTCCAAATAATTCCTCTTGGATCTTACTGAATATGTTACCATTTGAGAAAGTACATTTTGACGTTTTACTAGTAACATATTACTCAATGCGATTGCATCCAAGAATTATTTATTAACCAAACAGGTTTAGTGCCTTTTAAATTTTATACAGCTACTAGGAATGTTCAAGTCATAATCAACAATGTGGTTGTCATATATAGTGTAGTTTACAGATTCATTTTAGTTATGGAGGCTCTGAGCATGATGATTGATAGTGCTGTTTTCGGTGGCTATTTGAGGGGTTTCAATACAACAGTTGGGGAACAAGGATCAATAAGCGTCTCACGTCTTTTGTTTGCCAATGACACTTTAAATTTTTGTGATGCAGATAGGTCTCAGTTGGAACACTGACTTGTTTTAGTTTGGTTTTAGATGGTGCCTAGGTCTCAAAATCTCAGAAAGTGTGAGATCATTCCAGTTAGAGAGGTGGAGGACATTGAGAATCTTCCGTCGGTCATGAATTGTAAGGTTGGGGTTCTTCTTACTACTTACCTCGAATTATCGCTTGGTGCCTCAAACAAGGATCAGGTAACTTGGAATCTCGTACTACTGAGAGTTGAGAAGAGACTGGCAGGATGTCAAAAGAGATATTTGTCTAAATGAGGAAAGAAAGTGCTTATTAAGAACACCTTTTTGGGTATACCCACTTACTTATGTCTTTGTTTTAGGCACCTGTTAGTGTCCTAGAAAAGATGGAAAGACTACAAAGAAACTTTTATAAGATTTGGCAGACGGGGCAAAAAAATTTCACTTGGTAAGGCTGGAGATTGTGATGACTCTTAAATGTTGGTGAGGGCTTGGCGTTAAAGATTTGAGGGTTTCAATAAAGCCTTCTTAGGAAAATAGTTATGGAAATTTGGGTTTGAGGAAATGTTTTTTGGAGAGAGATGATATCCCAAAAGTATGGGGTAGTGGAAGGGGCTTGGAGGACAAAAATTATTACTATGCCTTATGGTTGTCGTTTGTGGAGGAATATTATGAAGGGGTAGAAAAAGTTTTGCGAATTCGTATCTTTTCGAGGAAGGGGATGTGATGAGGGTTAATTTTTGTGGGCACAGGTGGTGTGAGGTCAACTCTTTGAGGATTGCATTTTCAAACTTTTATAGGATTTCACGTAAAAAAAAGATGACATTCCAACAAGTTCAAAGAATACAAGATGAAAAGGATTTTTGGGATTTGGACTTTAGGAGGAAATTTCAAGATCGGGAAGTGACAAAATGCCAAAACCTTGTAGGCTTGCTTCACGATTAAGCAACATTGCAAGATATCCAGGATACTTGGAGGTGGGGGAAGGGAATCAATGTAGTTTTACTTTTTTCTATCAAATTTTATTATAAAAAGTTGCTGGTAAGAGAGGATGTTCCTTTTCCACATAGATTGATTTGGAGTTCAAATATGCTGAGAAAAGTATGCTTATTTGCTTGGTTAGCTGTTTCGGGGTTATCTTGACTGTTGAGAACTTGAGAAAGAGGAAGGTGACGTACATCAGTTGGTGCTTCATGTGCAAGGGTTCACGTAAGGATGTCGATTATCTTCTTCTGCACGGCCAGGTCGCTTCGAGGTTATGGTGGGTAATATTGAGTTTGTTTGGTGTCTCGTGGGTGATGCTAGAAATTGTGAAAGATGGCTTGTTCAACTGGAATCGTGATAGAAAGAAGGGGAGACATAGGGCTTGGGATGTGGCTCTTTTGGCACTTATGTGGGTTCTTCGAAGAGAAAGAAATAGGAGAGCTTTTGAAGAGATAGAGATGAACTTTGTACAATTGAAAAATAGTCTTTTATCCCTTATTTCTTTTTGATGCACCTATGAAGTTCCTCTTTGTATAGAAGGTTAGGCTGTTATTCGTAGAGAATCATATTTTGTGTAGGACTTTACTTTTTGGTATACCTCTTGTATACTGGTTTTACGCCTAAAATTTGTCAAAAAAATTTATTACCTTATCAAAAAAATTTGTAGTTTACAGAACAAAATCTTTTAAAGCTACCTCCTCCTTAGTCTGTTATTCTGTTGAACATTTCTTTCTACCTGCCAATTGTTAAATACTTAGTCTCCTACAAGAGAGGGAATCCCGAGAACTATACATGTTTGAGAAAACTAGCCAGTTCTTCTATCACACCCCAACCTTGGGGTGTCGCCGGCACCCGGTGCCTAAGGCTCGAACTTACTAATCCTGATACTTGTAATATACTCAATCATACGTGGGCTGACGAGGCATCTGACGAGTGATTACTTGATCAAAAGACACAACCACCTGCATGCAGAAAAGGTCCAACATACGTATATATACAACAAAGCCGACAATGCAAATATAAACACAACATGTCCAGTAAGAAGGCCGACAAAGCCACACAAGACTACTATATACAATGCGAGTGTCTGCAACCCTCTAAAGAGTACATCAACAACATTTGGTCGGGATAGGACCCCGAAATACCCAACTATGTATATACACACAACCATCATACCTATCAGCTCACTAAACAGCTCCGAAAGAAAGGAGCGTGACAACCTTCAGCTGAGTCGAGTCACCTACTGCGAGGTATCGTCTGAATCTCTATTTGTACCCGCGGGAATGAAACGCAACGCCTCGGAATCTCTATATGTGCATGCGGGCATGAAACACAGCGCCCCAACAAGGGGTCGTCAGTACAAAAGATGTACTGAATATATAAGGCAGGTAACACATATAAATAACATATGGAATGTGAAGGAAGCGTATAAAATACAACCTGAAACTCATAAAAGCCTCTGAGGGCATACACTGTCACAATCTTGGATATATATATATATATATATATATATATATATATATATATATATATATGTATATATATATGTATGTATGTATGTATGTATGTATGTATGTATGTAAAAGTCAAGCCACTCAACAGGGCCATATAATATAGTATCAAGCCACTATGCGGGGCAAATCATGTCATAACATAGCGTACTTGGCCTCGAAGAGGACTCGGTCGTACCCGACCTTAATAGGACTCGGTAATGTCTCATGTCATATCATAATGTACCTGGTCTCGAAGAGGACTCGGTTGTACCCGGCCTTAATAGGACTTGGTAATGTCAAAACCAACAACAATAGTGTGCACATATAAGTGCCATACCCGGCCGACTATAGGGCAGCTTGGTGTGAAAATAGATACATATATGTAAGTGCAATGCAAGCAATAACTCTGAAGGGCTTTGTGGATCTAATCAGAGTGGCTCAAGGTTGTTATCCTTCGATTATCGTTATGTAACTGTGTCTGTATCAATTGTTCGAGAGTTAACAAAGATCATAAGAAGACATTAGGTTCAAAGGCTGTCAAGGGGGGAAATGATCCCAAGAAAGAATAATAGTAGTCATGAACTATATCAATATGAAACGATGAGGTTCACAAGCTTTAATCTTGAGAATAGAGTTCCTTTTGAAGTAATGGTGTTATGGTTACGTTCTTTGTAGATCATGCCAAAAGAAAGAAAGAGTGAGCCTTAACATATCTTTGTTGTTTACTTAACGACTCAACATATATCTTTCTGAAGACTTCAGTCTACATTAAGACAGTAAAACTTGTACTTAATGCTATAGAAAGACTTCCAAACATGTTTCTAAGCTAGTAGGTCACTTACAGAAAATCGGTCAACATTTACGCTATAAAATTCCACTTCCACCCAACTCAAACCAGCATCAAAACAATAAGAACAACATCAACAATAACACACCCAAGCTACTACATCAAGAATCGGTCGAAATTTAGATCAAAACCCTTCCAAAATAGTACACACGCACAAACACCTCAAACATACTTCCACCTTCACTTTCAATTCATAGTTTTTACATGTTTTCTTCTTCATTTCATTTAATTGATACATGAATAATTTTAATAATAGCAGCCACAACATAATCCTGTTATATTCCTAATTTTCAGCCATCACAAATCATACTTATCACCTCAAAACAGCCCAACAAAACGGTAGCCATATCTTATGCTATTTCAATGCTATCTTGTAGTATTTTGCTTCAAACAACCTCACCAACACTTGTAAAAGCTTAAGAACAAGCAAGGAGATAGTATACTTACCTTATATAGCAACTACAACTCGAAATCCAGGTTCCTCTTAGCTCATAACAACCCTTAATGTCATCACAACATCATAGAAGCGTTTTCCGCTACCTTTACGGGGTTCTTGATGTTAGATATAGGTGGTTTACCTTAGAAATCACCCTTAAACCTTTGAGAGCTCTTAGAGAGCCTTTAGAGAGATATGGGGTGTGCTCTGGTCGAAAAATGAGAGAGATAACTGTTTTTATAACGAAAGGATAAGTTTCCACCGCCTATGTGGGTCCCATAGGGGCTGCATGTGCAGTCTCGCAGAATCGCGAATATCTCTTTACTCTAATGTCGTATCAACGAGCGGTTTAATGCGTTGGAAACTACACTTGTAGATCTTCAATTTGGTGGGTGGATCACCTCGTAAATCCAAGTACATTAAGAGAAAAGCTCAGTAACATTAGACCCAAATTTTTCAGTAAAATTATGAACGTGCTTGCGACAACTTTTGTCGACTTTTGTTTCATAACAAGCTTGACTTCAAAACTTAACACATGGCTATCATACGACTAAAATACCTCATAACATCACCTTCTTATCATGTTAAGCACCCTAATCTCACCCCAAAATTACGGGTTATAACATTCCCAACTTGCTGACTTCCGACAAAACTTATTTTCTTCGATTCATTTAACTTCTAAACCTTACAACATGTGCTATGCATGGTTTATACACTCGTGAACTTGAGAATAGTCTTGATCTCCGAGCTTATGTCGACTAAATCGCGACACACTTTGACGTGTGAAAATGTGGGATGTAACTTCACTAAGGATTTTTTATCTTTCTGCTTCTATGTTTCTTTCAGCTTGATATTGCACTTGTTGTTTGCTTACTATTTATCTTCTTTCAGGCTTCACGAAGACACTACTGTACAAATATGAATGTACGAGGTGAAGACAACATTGATGAGAAATGGTGATTTTCCATATATTCATAAAATCTGCTTTCCTATCTCTTTCGTCCAATGTTATAATGTTATGGCTGAAACTGCAGCAAGTTATTAGTAAAGGATCAAGAGGCTGGGTGCTCAGAATTCAAGTTAGTTAGTTTGGCTTTCGGATGTTTCTATTGTCTATCCTTCTCTTGATTAAAAATTGAGATTTTAATCTAATTTCTGAATAGAAATTCTCATAAAGTCAAAGGTCATCCATCCCTTCAGAAAGGAGGGTGCCACGAGGCTCATGATATTGAAGATCTTGTTAAAGTTGGGCGAATTGTTAAAGGTGACAAAGTCTGTGTGTAAAGTTTTCCCATTATTTTCTATGCAAGGAGTGAACTCATCAGCAGGCTGTTCTACAATTTTCAGGCTGCTCATACTTTGCAGCGCGTTCCATGGCTGATCATGCGGAATTAGTGTTCTGTCCATACAGCTATATCATCGATCCAGTTGTCAGGAGAGCAATGGAAGTAGATATAACAGGGGCCATCATTATTCTCGATGAAGCCCAGTATGTATAGATATAAACCACTTGTGACATTTGTTGTTTTCCCTGGTGACTTGTTTGTGTAGAAAATAATGGAAAATTTAATTATACATATTAAAATATGCACAAGGAGTTTTGTAAAAAAAGATGATTGTTTTTTACAAAATAGCTCAGCTACAAATGCACAGTTTTGCCTGCTATGAAATATATTAATTCATCTTTAGGTCTAGGAAATGGCTGTTTTGAAGATCAGACAACAACTAATACTCTGTCTGATCCAAATCGATATATCTATTTTGCTTATCAATTATTTTCAATTTGATCAATTTTTCAGAGTTGAAGTTGTACTTAATACCGTTTCATCTTTTGAAATAAGTTCAGATATTAAGAAGTGCTTGAAGAAGTGCTTCAGTAAAATTTCATTCCAATTCAAAATAATGAAAACAACTGTTAAAAATTGCTAGTAACTGATTGTTTTATTCAACATGAAGTGAAATAAGAGAATTATTTCGAGACAGAATGCTTAAACATGTATTGCATATCAGATAAAGTAGTAATGATTCATCAGAAGAATGGAAAAATGTATGTATTCCATAATCAAAATGAAGTATATACATATCATTGTATTGACTAGTTTTTCGTTTATTTGTTTTGGTTGGTGTCTATCTGCAGCAATATAGAGGACATTTCTCGTGATGCTGGTAGTGTGGATATTGAGGAGGATACTTTTCTTCGTAAGCATGGACTAGCTTTTCTCCATGCCCTTGCTTAATCTTTTTATTTAGGGCCAAATTGAAAGAAGACTTTCTTACATTTTTATTTTAGTTCATCTCTCACAGTTCTTGTTTTCTGGAAGAGTTGCAGATGGAATTGGAGCAACTCACACTATCTGATACTATGACCTACCAACCTTTGGTAGAAATGGTACAGGTAACTACTGCAAATTTTAAGTTCTGCTGACAGCTTATAGAGCTTTCCATCAATTCGTGTATTCATTGTTTTTGCAGGACATACTGAATTGGATTGATAGGAAGAAAAATACTTTAGAAAGGCACGACTTCCAACACTATTTCTCATGGTGAGTTATGGTTCGGTTATTGTTCCTGCTTCAGATGTGAAGTATCAGAGAAAAACATATATGTAATGGTAACAGATCAAGTTTGTACTCATCATTATCAAATGTTGGAACATTATATAACAAAAGGAGTATCCATTACTCTCATAATTAGACTGTTCTTGATAACTGCAAAAGGTAAAGTGATAGACAAGACTGATTTCTTGCATTTCCCAATTATTTTGCCAGTATCTTCATTCTGTAAACTTGATGCATACAGTGGTATGGAAATGCTTTAAGATGCTGAGGGACTTTATCACTTTCGATACTGCTGAGGATAACACTATTTATCATTTTTGATAGGGAAGTATAATTTTTAATCTTTAAATGATACTTTACCTTTCTTCATAGAAGCTAATTTTTGCATGACTTCCTTTAGTTAGTATGGAGTTCTAGGAAACTGAAAGGACATGGAATCAATTACTTTTTAAAATCAAGACTCTGTTAGTGTTTAGGTTTCCATTTCCGACCAAACTTTGGTTATGTCATGTTACAGGACATTGTTTTAAATGTTTGGCATGGGTAACCCACATATTCTTAATTGATCAGAGTCTAAGAAAGCTCTTAAGTTTTGGCGCACTAAAACATTTATTACTGCTGAAGCTGATTCAGGAAATCATAATTGTATATGGTGTAAAGCCTTCAAAGTTGATCTTCAACCCAATAAAAATATTTGTATATGCAAAAGAAAAGTACTAAAATTCTACAATTTGAGCCCGAAGGGTTTCAGTGCGAAGTTCTATTTTTCCATATAAATAGAATAAATATGGTAGATTATGTAATAAAGAAAAGTGAGGAATTGAAAGTTATTCGATGACCATATGAATCTTTTTTCTAACTTCGTCCAATTTTCTTATCGGGCGTGTTTCACTGGATAAGAAAAAAGGGAATTGAAATTTAATTCAAGCAATGTGATATAATATGGTCAAACAAATTAGATTACACAACATGATTTATATTCTCCGCGCATCGCGGGGGTGCTATACTAGTTTGATTACAAATTAGATCTAATCATATTCTCACACAAGGTGAAAGCTATTTCATATACTTATTTGCTATGTTACTCGGGCTCTGCGAAAATATGGCCGGATACGTGTCGGATCCTCCAAAAGTAGTGCATTTTTGAAGGATCCGACACGGGTGCGGCTACATTTTGGAGAGAGTGCGCAACATAGCTTATTTGAGACTCTAACTCAAGGTGATTCGTGCTCAAACATTACTGCAGGTAACATTGTTTCTGGTGTTAACTAGTTTTCACATTCTACCTGTGCATGTTGTGCGTGTGTGTGTGTATTACTTTGAGCACTATATATATATATATATATATATATATATATATATATATTTATTTATTTATTTATTTATTTATTTATTTATTTATTTATACCTATTTATCTCATCTGCTCCAAGCCTCCAACTTATTTTGTAGTTGGACTGGTGACAAGGCCTTGAAAGAGCTACAAGAAGCCAATGTGACAAAGCAGTGCTTTCCCATTTTACAAGAATGTGCTGTGAAGGTAAATTCTTGTTGATGCTGGTCTGTTTAGTCTTAAAATAATGATAATGGTTGTTAAGTCCCACATTGGTTGAGGGAATGGGTTGTGACCCCCTTTTTTGGTGTTGGGCAATCCTCCCTTGTGAGCTAGCTTTTGAAGTTGAGTTAGGCCTAAGATCAAATTTTCACATGGTTTCAGATCTAAGACACATCGATCCCTGTTGTTCTGATTCTCAAGTTCGGGTCCACGTGTCACGGTATCCACACTCCAATTGTTCTGTCCTGTGCGTTCTGGGGTGCTAATTTCCACATTTGTTGAGGGAATGGGTTGTGGCATCGTTATATGATTTTGCACAATCCTCCACCCATGACCTACCTTTTAGGGTTGAGTTAGGCCCAAGGTCCATTTCTTCACAGTGGAGATATGAGGACAAGTATAAGTATCTATATAATTGCACTTGCTCTCACCCTAATCTCTTATCATTTTTCCCCTGAAGGCCATTAAAGCTGCTTCTGAAGCTGAGACAGAGACAGCTCATTTGAGTGGCATGGCAGCAGCTGTATTAGAGGGTACTGCATCTTATTTCTGATTCTAAATACTAAACTTATCTTTTAAAGGAACCTTATGTATATTGACAATATATGTGTCATTCAGGACTATTCACCTCACTTCGTTACTTCTTCTCGGGAAACGGTCTTCATGTGTGTGATTATCAGCTAGCTTTACAACGATGTGTCAAGAAAAGTCCTGGTAAGTACTGATATATGTGAGAAAGATGCTGCTTACTGTTCCTGTCTTCAGGCACACTAGGTCTCCGATTTTATCTTATTAAACTAAATTGCATAGATCATTTAACATATTCTGCTGACAAAAATAATCAAAAATATTTACAGATATTTGTTATGAATTGTAACAAGAAATGCTTTGCATGTAATGATGGGCTCTTGTAATCTATATTGCGCGGACTCTCCAAAATGCTGTTGCACCCGTGTTGGATCCTCCAAAAATGCACTACTTTTGGAGGATCTGACACGTGCCCGACAACATTTTCGGAGAGTCCGAGCAACATAGCTTGTAATAAGGACGCTGAAGTGTTCTTTCTTCAAAGGAACTTGGTATTCTGAATGCTTTTGCAGGGCATAAAAGGATATGAGGGTTTATTTAAAACTTTCTTGATTACTAAAACTAGTAGAGATACTTGGTGATTCTGTTCTGTTTTGATCTGGTTCTGTATCAGTTAAAAGAGGTGAAAGCCCTTTAACTCCATCCTTGGAACACACGAGCAGGAAATGAGATAAACATGTTTATGCTTCAGACGTCCCTGACTAATGTGAAGCACCTCAAGCTTCAACCACCACACAAAAGAATAAAAAATAGAAAAGAAACAAAGAGGAAAGGATGATTTATTTACTAGTGACATGAATACTGACACTGATGAAATTCTAGAAGATATAGTCATAATGCTCTAATCCTGGGTTAGAGATCTCATTCATTTCTTGATAGTTAATTTGTTTTATGCTGCTATCCCTCTATGAATGTGCAGGAACTGCTGTTGGTAGCTGGACACATACTTTTAGTTTGTGGTGCTTAAATCCAGCGGTTGTGTTCAGAGAAATTGCTGATTCTTGTCTGTCAGTGATTCTAACATCAGGGTATGTGCAATATCATACATCACATGGCAACTTCATTCAAGCATTAATCCTTGTTGGTGTTTGGAAAATTTAGACAGTTCCTTTTTGCTTGGGTCCAATTAGAAGCAAACTTAATGACTTATCTAGCAAAACTTTCAGGTTAATGGTGTATGGTTCAGTTTCATGACTATGTACATACGTCAAATGTTTCTTGTCTCTGTTTACTTTGTTTGTTCATGAACTATCCTTGCACATCCTTATTTGTGCCTTCAGCTTCTCCTGTCCTTCACTTGATACCTCAGAAAGACAATTTTGAAAAGCTGCTGCTTGAAGTTCCAGTTCCTTATTTGATGTGCCAACGTTTTTTTTATTACAGGACTCTATCACCAATGAATTCATTTTCCTCTGAACTTGGTGTTACTTTCGGTACTTCTCTGGAAGCTCCACATGTTATAGATGTTGAATCACAGGTACTTTAACATTTGTCATTGTTTTGGGATCTGCTGGAGTTCGGACTTTATTTATTGATGAACTCAATGCCAGCCCATGAATTGCAGTTTTGGGCTGCTGTAATCTCGAGAGGACCAAGAAATTATCCGCTGAATGCAAGTTTCAAAAATACAGATTCATATGCTTTTCAGGTATTATGTGATATTTATGCCAAGTTTTCATTCGTCAATTTGTATTTCCCTCTTTGTCTGATGTTGCAGTATTCTTTGTGAAGGATGCACTTGGCATATCTTTAGAGGAAATATGCAAGATTGTTCCTGGCGGTTGTCTTATATTCTTTCCTAGCTATAAGCTGATGGAGAAATTAAGCAGTCGCTGGAAAGAAACAGGTCAATGGGCCCGACTTAATGCTCGAAAGCCCCTTTTCGTTGGTAAGAAACATTAAGTCCATCCTTTGGATATCAGTAAGATATTAGCCATAAACAGGCAGTAAGAGAGTAAGATTATCCAAACTATTCATACCGAACTATTCATTGCATTCTTTTCCATTGATGCATTGGAAATTCATCATGCTTGCCAATTGTTGATCTTTACTGGTGCTATTAATTCTTTCTTTGATGTTTGCGTTTAGAGCCAAGAGGGGGTCAAGAAGAATTTGAATCAGTTTTGAAGGGTTACTACAGTTCTATTAACCAAAAGGGGAAGCTAATGATGGGAAGAAAGAAAAAGGCAAAAAAGTCAGCTCTTAGAGACAGTAATCCACATGAAGTTTCAGATGAAAACAAGAAAGAGGGGGCTGCTTTTCTTGCTGTTTGTCGAGGAAAGGTACATCAGGCTTAATTCCTCCTGTCAAGTTGTACAAATTTTCTAGTATTTGAATTATCACAAATGGCTGTCTTGTGGAAGTTCAGTCCCACTACTTTGTTGTGTCCAACTGCCCACATGGCCAATTGGCAACACTGAGGTGCAATCTGTAATTACCTAATTTAATGTTCAACTTACAATCTTCCTAAGGGAATTTGTCTTTTGCATTTGACATAACTTACAAAATTCCGGTATGACTTGAATACAACTGTTCTTAAAAAGTTAATCACCACTTCGCAAGAGACTAAGAAAAGAGTTGGGACTAACAATAAAGGATTTGATAGTTCTCAGAGATACAATTAAGGAAATAAAAGTGCGTTCTCTCTAACAGCTTAAGCTTTTAGATGAGATGGTTATACACTTCAATATGGTATCAGAGAAGGCAAAGATTGTGGGTTCAAATGTCAAGACACCCATTATCAGAAAGAATTTCCACGTACTTGGCTCGTGAAAAAGAATCAAGCCCGCACGTGAGAAGACATGTTAGAGATATAATTGAGTAAATAGAAGTGTGCTCTCTCTAACAACCTAAGCGTTTGGCTGAGATGATCATACACTTCAACATAAATCATGAATGCTTCCGGTCTTTCTCAACTCTTAAATTATTTTGAATATTGGGAAAGACTTTAATTTGAAGATTTTTTTAATTCATATTGACTCAATTCAGGTTTATTAGTTTGCATAATGGAGGAGTTGCAACACTTTTATGGCCCATTAACATTGATTTGGAATTTCTTAGGGGTTATAACTGTAGATTTTAAGAAGAAGAAAAGGCTTCTTGTATTTCTGTGTATGTTTACATTCCATGAGCAAGAGAATTTATCAAAGCTCCTAATGCTAATTAAGGAAATAAAATAAATCTATACAATCAATCCAGCTATCAAATCAAATCAAATAAAATCAGAATAAAATCAGATCTCCTAAATATAATCAAATCTCCTAAAATCATGATAATCAACACTCCTAAATCAAGTCTGCTTGAATCATGCTAATCAACACTCACCCTCAAGTTGGTGCACAGATGTTGCACATGCCTAACTTGCAACTCAAAGTATGGAAAGTTCGCTTCTTGAGACCTTTGGTAAACACATCAGCTAGCTGTTTTTCCGATGGCACATGAAACAAACTCAAGACACCAGTTGTAACTTTTTCTTTGATGAAGTGTCGATCAATTTCCACATGCTTTGTTCGGTCATGCTGGACTGGATTATGAGCTATACTGATGGCAACTTTATTGTCACAGTACAAGGAAAGTTTTCCTTTTTCATACGGTCTCAATTCCTGTAGTAGCTTTTGTAGCCAAAGCAGTTCGCAAATACCCTAGGCCATAGCTCTATATTCTTCCTCCGCACTTGATCTAGCAACTACACTTTGCTTCTTGCTTCTCCAAGTAACCAAGTTTCCTCCTACGAGCGTATAGTAATCGGATGTTGATCTTCTGTCATCTGGAGATCCAGCCCAATCCGCATTTGTAAAGGCTTCTATTTGGAGGTGATCATGTTTGGAGAAAAGTAGACCTTTCCCTGGAGCAGACTTCAGATACCGCAAAATGTGAAAGACAGCTTGCATTTAAGGATCTCTGGGATCATGCATGAACTGACTCACCAGGCTAACTGAATAGGCTATGTATGGTCTAGTGTGGGAGAGATAAATGAGTCTTCCAACCAGCCTCTGATATCTCTCCTTATCAACTGATTCTCCAACTCCGCTTTGTAACTTGTGATTGCTTTCAATGGGCAATTCTGCGGGTCTGCAATCTGTCTTTTGTAAAATAATTTGGTAGTATAAACATGTAGCGTTGCAACCTTAATCTCCTTGTTTAGAAGCCATTACATGGTAGATTGTGAATAACTTAAAGCTATCTAAACTGTAATCTAGAGATTACGAAAACTGAATTTCCCAGGAAAATACTTTCCAAGGCCAGACAACAAACAGACTTTCATCCTTACAGTTCTGGAATGAATCCTTTGTAGAAAGTGCATTGAAAAAGATTTTAACATTCATGTCTACAATGACTTGCCTAAATACTTCACTGAAGAGTCCTTTGTCTGTGATAATATGGTACTTTTGCAGCAGAATCAAGTTAAGATGTTGTTTAGAGTTGCTTTATCCTTATTTATGAATAAGCTCTTAGGAACACTTTATGTTATGCATAGTTTATTAGCTTCAAAATCCATCTTCATTATATTTCTTTCTCCACATCGGAAGCAAAGAAAATGAAACTTTGGCCTTTCATTTTTGTCTGTAAGATTAATCAAGCTTGAAAAGATTCGATATCTGAATATGCAAGTGCTTTCTGCAGGTTTCTGAAGGCATAGACTTTTCCGACGAGAAGGCTCGTGTAGTCGTATCCTTTTTCCTTTCTTTGAATTATGTTACTATTTGTCTTCCTGGAATCTGATAAAGGACGGAAGAAATGTGGATATAAATCCTGATGTTCTTATGTGGATTCTTGTAGTGGCAATTCATTTTTATATTGCAAGTATATTTGAGATTGCATGGGCTTATAGTTCCAGAGTTTTCGGTTGTTGTGGTTATTTTCTTAACTAAATTAGATAGTTGTAAGCATTCCCTTTCCAAACATGTAAGAAATCTCTCTTTATATGAATTTCTACTTATTCTTATATGTTTCAGTGACTAATATGGGGCTCATTTTCCATCAGAAATGATATTCAAGTCTCTCTTAAGAAGAAGTTCAATGATATTTATAAGTCTTCTAAAAATCTTCTGAGTGGGAGTGAGTGGTATTGTCATCAAGCCTTCAGAGCTCTTAACCAGGCTACAGGTAGGCCATGTCTCTGGTATCTTTCTAAACATCTCCATGTTCAGAGTTCTTGTGTTATCACATATATAGCAATCAGTAAGAGTATAATCGTAACTCAAACAAAATCGTAGCAAGAGTATACGTCACAGATTCATCAACTTGGTGTTTCTCAGTTTAATCTGTATGATCATCCATAGTTGTTGCAGTTGCGGACCATCATATAATATTGACTACTTGTAATTTCTATTTTATGAATTCTTTTGCACTGCTTAAGTATTTTTTTCACTTACAAACTTTGGTCAAATTATTAATATATATGTGCCTAAAGAAATAATTTATATTAATTAAAAATGATCTTATCTAGTCAATTTGTAGCTTGAGGTGAATTAAGAAACACAATTTGTATCTGTATTAATTCATAACTAAAAGTATTGAAATAATAAGCTCATTTTTCTGGTTTAATAGCTTTAAGGTATTTAAGTTATTTTTACAGAAAAAAAGTGCTTATCAACAAATTTTTACCAAACATATCAACTGCTTAAATGATATTTCCCATTTAATGTTATACAAAAATGCCATCTCTACGAGTAAACTATTTTGCAATTAATTGCTTCGTATAGGGATGTCTTAGTTATAAAAGATTTCTCGAAAAAGATTCTTTGTTGTGTGATTAGTTTGTAATCCACCAAATTCTCTTAATGATTTTGACATAATGGGTTCTGATATAATTGGTTTTTTGTTTTGTAGGTCGTTGCATACGCCATAGATTTGACTATGGAGCTGTGATCTTTTTAGGTAATTATATTACCCCTTATTTGGTTGCGTAAAGAGAAAACGAAGAGAGAATTTTTCTTTGCTAACTTAGTGAGTACGCACATAAAAGGGACCTCCTTATAATGAAGATTTGGTTACTGGAAAAGAAGAAAAATGTAGGATCCTTAATTGCCATATACAAACTTCAAACTCATACTTTGTACTTAGATACGTATAATGTATCTGGGCAATATTCTAACACTCATCTTGAAGTTGGAGCATAGAGATCATGTACCCCAAATTTGACAAAAGTTTAATTGATTTTGGTTCTCGAGTGCTTTAGTGCTCACATTCACCAAGATTAGAAGTGTGCTTTCTAACCAAGTAACAATAATTTTGATGTTCTTGATCCTCTCATATAACACTGAGTTAGAACTTAGAAGTGACATGAATAACAACTTTGACTATTGCAAATCAACTTTGTTTATATGACCTTTCCGAACTTCAGCTCTTCACTTACTACTTCAACTGCATAAGCTCATATGTTGCCTATATATAGCAAACTAGGCCTCTATGCTCCACCTAGAAAATGATCTTAGTTTTTTACATGTTTAAGAGATCAAACATGGATCACTCTCTGATGCTAACTTGGCCCAATTTGCACTAGGATAACCAAAATATCACAAATATCTCCTCGATCCTTGTATTGGATTGCTTGGCCTAGAACACCAGCTTGGTACCATAGCATGTGGATGATTGCATCCCAATGACCATCACGAGAATCCTACAAGAACTGGCTGGTCATGCTAACAACTAAGGACTTCTTGAACAACTTATTGTTGTAACAGTTCTTAACTTATTAAAGGCAACCCCTGTTTTGGAAACTTGACACTAGGTTAGGGTCTTGTTTGTGAACTGTTAGAAGCCAACCATCTTGATCTTATCCAAGATTATAAGGGCATACTTGCTTTAAGAGAGCTACATCTGAGCTAGACTGAGACATCTCCATGTGCAAACTCGTGGAGACTACCTTAGACTATAAAGAAACCGACCAAGTCAACATACAAGACTGGGATCCACATAAGCAACAATGACTGTATTTGCTCTATCTTCTTGGAACACTTGGACCAAACATTTTGAGTGGAATAAGGATCTAAATATTCAGAGCTTCATTCGCTTTGGTACTCTGTAAAAGAGGAGAAAAAGAGAGAAATATCTTACTTAACTGGTGAAGTACATCTACAAGAGAATTCATTATACAGGGATGTTGGCTACGTAAAATAAAGAAAAGTTTCTCAGTAATTGGGGTTTCTACTTATTGTACAATCATTTGAATATTTCATAAACTGCACCAACACATAATCTAACACGATGGACTTTCTTGTCCATTGCTGACAATAGGTTCACATTGCTAGCAGAATCAACATGTCCTGGTTATCGTTCTCAGAGTTTCTAGGAGAAGAGCTCCTTCCATTTTTTTTGAATTTTTTTTTATGTCTGGGGACTGCACTTTTTCTTCTTCATTATTATCTAAATATATATTTTTGACAAATTTAATATTTTTAGAAGTATTTAATATGTTGTTAGTAAACAAGTGGAAATTGGTTTGACCATGTAGAGGTGTTGATCTTTAGTAGATCTTGATGCGTCAACGAAATTTTTATGTCATGCAATATAGGAAACTTGTGATGTTAATCTTTTTTAGATAGACTATTTTAGGGCTTTGTTTTTTCTTCAGACTGCGAGTATTTCAATCATTCATCAAAAGACATATTGCTAGTGAAACACTGCGTTATGTTAGTCATTATAGATGTTATGTAAGTTTGATCCCTAATATAAACAATTGTATTATGGTACATACCCAGAGTTAACTAGCAGGTAAGAAAAATCATATCTATTATTAAATATAAAGGTATCTTGCTGTCAGCAATCTCTAAATAGACCCCCCCTCCCCCCTCCCCCCTCTTTCTTTTCCCCTATTTTGAGTACTTCTAATTAATTACAGCTTGGTGCATTATTTTGAGAAAGAATGCTTCATTGCCTTTATAATAGTTTTGAATGATTTGATGATTTTCTCTATCCTTGCTTGTATCAGATACCTTCTCTCTACAATATCATTTTTCATCTTCTTGCATGTAGATGAGCGTTTCTGTGAGGCAAGGAATAGAGCTTATATTTCAAAGTGGTTGCGGAGTTCAATAAGACACTTCGGCAGCTTTGACGAGTCAATAGAAGAACTGAAATCCTTTTTCAGAGATGTCAAAGTACTCATTGACAAACTTCAATTAATATCATGGCAGCTCTTGTTCTCTGCATCAGTCCATTGTCTCTGTTGAAGTTTTCCCAATATTGTTCTCCTTTTTATTCTTTTAAGTCATTAATTTAAACCTTTTCGCTTACTTTAAACAGGAGCGTGTTGGCAAGGCAGTCATTTCCTTACAAAATTCTGTTATTGATGTTGAAGAAAATGCTTCTCTAACCAAGAGCATAAGAACCAGGCAGAAAAATCAGAAGTTGAGCACTTATAATGTGAAAGGGCTTAAGGAAGAACAAAATGGTGCATTGATTAGTCAAAAAGCTGCTCTCCTATGTCAATCTTCCCCTATTAATACAACGTATAATACATCCTCCACAAAAATGAAAGTTCATGCTCCGCATTTGATGTTAAGTGATGACGAGGATGGTCGCAGAGGTTACATTGATTTGGAATGTGGTTCAGAAAAATCACCTAGGTGAAACATGAATCCTTAATGTGTTTGAATTTTATTCCTTTCATTCAGTTGAAAAATGTCTGCATATTGAGCTCTCCACTGGACATTTTACCTTTGCGTTATTTTGTGACACTGAATTTCCAATTTTGCAGGTTTTCTGGAGATCCATTGATCTCCAGTAACCTTGACTTAACCATTGTAAAAGAAACTCCTTGTCCTGATGACATTATTCACATTTCTAGTCCTCAGCCCTTCTCCAAGGATGAATATTCTAGCTCAACCATTATTCAAGCATCTGGTGAGCTCTCAGACCACTTGGCAAATCATCCTATAACTCAACAAAATACAGTGTTGGGTTGTAAATCTTCCTCTTTGATGCTTACTCCTGAAAAAGATGTTTGTACCAAAGCAAACAGGATATTGTGTGATGTTGACTCATCAATTAACTCAAGCGTCAATTCTCATGTGGGGAAAAGGATAAAACGCTTGGATTTGTCGTCCATTGTTCATCTCCGTGCAGAAGAATTTGATACTCAGATGACCAACACTCCTATGCATGATAGTTCTACATGTAGATCAAGGAAGATTAAAGACGCATACCAGAGGATTGATTCCGGTTCCAGAATTAGTCAGTTAGACACGGAACTGGAGAAGTCCAAATTTCTGACGTCTCCAGTCCTGAATAACTGTGAGACATCAGTTGTGCAGTCTAAACTTGCTATGCAGGAAAGACTACAGATATTTTGCTCACTTTGCGAAAATCCGCTGGGGCTTCCTGAGAACAATTTATTTGTTATGTGCTCACGAACTTCGTCAACAAAAACTCACTTGAAAACTCTTTGGAAGGGCCAATTAGAAACCCCTGATCCGAGCAGACATAGTATACCTATCCTCGTAGCTAACTTTTTGTCTGTTGATCAACGCATCTATGAAAGAACCAGTGACAGTTTATCAGTACAGGGGATTTGGTGCAAAGAAGATGGTTGTGTTTTCAAAACTATTTTCTGCCCCTTTTGTGTAAATTCCAGACATTGTCTTGGTGTACAGGTCATGGCTTCTGATGCAGCTAATGTCCAGTTACTAAATAAGGTATTAATCTTTTAGCCACTACAGTTACTAAATAAGGTATTAATCTTTCAGCCACTACAATACAGGTCATGGCTTCTTATTAAGATATTTTCCATTTGCACCATTTGTTTTCTGTGTAGGTGCTGCTTTATTGTGATTGCTTGGTAATTAAAGAGCCTGAAGCGTCAAGAAAGGTCAGTCAGTCTTTTCCTCATTCCTTGGGGATAAGTGACCTAGAATGTGTAAAATTGTAGTAGCACGGGCACATGTGAAATACCTTAAGCAGAGTCAAGTATCGTGCAATCTCTTGGTTGATAGGTCAAATGCATCATGACTCAGACAATAGTGGTCATGCAGATCAATTTCAATGGCTAATCCATGATGTGCTTGTGAGCTAATATAATCTTAATCATTAACCTCTAATATGTCCTCTATTTGAAAGTGATTGGTTCAACAACCAAAAAAATATCTTTAAATTGACCATCCAAGTTTCCATTATCTCAGTTCTGTTACGGCACTACTATTGGGATGTCCCTAAAGATCTTGTATGTAGCATATTTATTTGATCCAGAGTCTTGTGTATTCATCATGTTTCTGCATGTGCACGGCACTTAATTCTGTAGCTGCCAGCTAATCTATTATTGTTTGCTGACTTCTCTAGGCTGGATATAAGCTCTAGATAGAAGAAAATGCTTTGACTATTTGCCGTAGAAGCAACCAAGCAAAAAACTTAAACCCAAGCCCTAGAGATACTAATCTAACTAGTTACTCTGGAATTAATGAAACATATGTAAGATCTTCAGAGAGTTTCTAGGGGATAATTCCACTGCCAACATGTTGCTTTATGATAAATGACCCAAATCCCAAAAGTTTAATGTGGTGACATGCTACTATTTGGTGCTTTCTGATAAATGAACCAACGCCAAAAGTTTCAGTGGTCCACTAGATTTTTTATCATGTTAAATTTGTGCCTTCTTTTCCACTCTCAATTTTAGGAATTATCTCCGTCCACCAATTCAAGCTCTGATAGAGGAGTTATTAATTCCATTGAGAGTTTCTCATTTACTCCTCAGCAGCAGAACCTTGGAGGATGGAGAACTACAAAATCAAAGGTAAAGACACATATTTGGATATAGTTGACATTGTTAACCTAATATATTGATTAAATAAACTTATCATGCAGATGCGGTTACCAAAGAGGAGCATCTCATATAGTACACAGACTGATGTAGAATGAGTTGGAGTTCACTAAATAGATGATATACTTCCTGCAAAAGTTACGATATTACAAGACAAGCTTCCAAGAGAGATGACAAGTCAAAATGGGTCAGAAGTTGCTGGCAAGATGTTAGCTGAGGGATATTCTACTTGGAGTTTAGTGTGGATGCCTACATACAATGAACTGTTTATGCAGTTCGTTAAAAGATATCAGCAGTCAGTTACCACTTTTCTAGTCGACGAGTGTACATATTAGACAGATATGGGGAAAATTTTGATATGAAAATTTCTATCTTATTTATAAAAAAAATGTTCAAAAATGACACTTCCTGTTGATTGCGTTTGTTCTCTCTTTCTTTCTTTCTTTTTTTTTTTTTTTTTTTTACGACAAATGGTATGTGCATTTGTTAATTATTAGTGAATAAAATCTCACGTAACTTTAAAATCTATCTCTTACCTCTTAATTACTCACCAACAATGTTGATCTAATATAATATTAAAAATTAGTTATATATTTTTAATGATATTCCTGGAATGACTGTTTTGGTTGAGCGATTATTTTCATTCTTGTGTACCTTTTTCATGTAGCAGTTGACATGTGTATATGGATAGCTTACACCGTTTATTTCTAGTATCTTAATTCATTTATCCTTATTTATGAAATTAGTTATTAGCTACGTCAAAAATGGTCACCAACGTTGTCTCAGAATTCGGATGTTTTATAACGAAGCAGCAGAGGTTTTTGCCTTGTTACTCTGGTACTGTAAGTGCACGTGGAGCTTAACTTACGACATTGAACAGTAAATACTCACTTTTTCAGTATTCCCATTGGCCTTCTTTAAACTAATGATCAGGAAACCTTCAACTTCTCAAGTGACAAGAGTGAATATCTTATTCGACTAATATGAATATATAACATAAGAACCATGGATTTATAATTTTGGTATTTAGCCATAATAGTGGTTCCTTGCACCCGTAATCATAAACTAGACAAAGGTGTCATGACTGGTACTCTGGTAGACCTTTTCGAAAACTTTTCTCGTTTGTAAAATTCAAGTTTGAATTCATCTTCAACCTTGTCCAACTTCCCCTTTTCTTTATGCTTTTTATTTCCTTTTGTCCTAGTCATTTCCCTTTTTGGCTGCCTCCCAATTTTCTAACTGTCATTTTATTATTTTTATATTTTTCTTTTCTCCATTCTATTATTTTATGTGGTCTCTAGCAAGAACACTCAAACAAGGGACTCCAAAACTTTAAAATTATACTATAAAATAAACATTCCTCTTAATCTTAAATTTATGAGTTTTCTTTCAAATCTGAAAACCTTGGGTCTTACTCTTACTAGGAATTTTGGATTGAGATCAATTTTCTTTTTTTAGTCTTTTTTCTATTATATCATAAAATTTGTGTTACTATATGGCTTTTAAATATAATTTAAATCTCTTTACTATTAGATTTTGATGAAAATTTCTTAAGCATTGCTTTAAAAAAAATGAGATTTATGATTTTGATTTTTGGGAACTTGTAATTTATTTAACTTTATACTTATGGGGTATAATTTATCTATTGAAGATATTTTTTTAAAAAAAATTCCTTATTCTGATTGATGTAATTCCCTTATGGGAGATGTTATCTTACTTGTGTAATTTTATATTTAATCTACAGAAAAGATGTAATTTCCTAGTGAAAATGATGATTTTACTAGTGTTGTTATAATAAAGGTGTTATTCCTTGCTTAAAATGCCAATTACGATTTTATTTTTTATTTTTTATATCTGAGATGTAACTTTTATATTTGCAAATACAAAATACCTATTAGGTTGACCCGAATAAACTCAAAAAAATCGAATAAATGTTCCTAACAAATTTAATATTAGTCATTAAAAGGTATACATTTAAGGAAATTATGACACCCGCAACCTTCAAAATCCTAGATCCGCCTCTGATAGTGGCATATGGGAAATAGAAAACCTATGACAGCTGATTACATGAATTCTCTGTGGGAAGTTCAAAGGCTAATATCAGTTTGATTTACGACAAAATTACATGAGAATACAAGTATACATTTTGGTCAGTATATCCAATATCATCTGCCTAAGAAAGATTCGTTGTCATGGATAGGAGTCTAATTGATTCACAGATGGCAGACACGGCTTCTGCAATCGGATCACAGCCAACCAAGTCCCTTCCTCTACCCTAACTTTTTCTATTTGAATCATGGGTTCAAATTCTCAAATGTTGTTACATAGATATTCCCTAGTTTCAATCCTAAAAAATTGGATACATCATCTGTACAAGCATTTCCTAATTTCCCTACCATGACTAAGCCCTCATTTTAGGTTACTCTGTAAACCTGAATAATCTACTTCACTAGGTTCAAAAGCAAAAAGGGCTTATCAAAAATTAGAGCTGTAACACTAAATCTGGCTGCTGTGGCGATCCAACTTGTATGCTAGAACTAGGGGAGCCTGAGGTTTGGACTTTGACATTCAGGTCGGGAGGGATAGGAAGAGATTGCCTATACTGCCCCGAAGATACAGAGGCAGGCCGTGAATCACCAGAAAGCCTCACATTCTGCTCTGTACGAAAATCAAGATTTTTACCTGGTGCTAAATTCCCAGAATGCAATGTAGTCCAGGTTTCCCGCAGACTATTCTCAAGAGAAGAGACATGGTCTGAAGGTGAACGATGAGACGAAGTATCTCTTCCAGGAATTGTTCCAAGCACTTGACCAGGCCTTGAGGCCTCTTGTAGGCCCGGTTGACCTTTCGGCAGGGACAACCTTGTTACCTCCATTTGCGTAGACAAACCATAACCAAGCATACCATTGAAACCATTTCTTGGGTTAAGGAAATGTTTTTGCTGGGCCTGGGAGGTAGATGCAGGATTTGCACAGGAAAAGCCGCCACTACCCTGTGCAAGTTCATTTTGGCTATTCAATGTCTTCGCAGCTTCAACAATTTCACCAGTAGGCCTGCACATGACAGCAGAACTCGGTCCTGGAAGAGATGGTGTAACGGCTCTACCAGAATGGTGATCAGCTGCCAAGCTGTCTGATGATTTGTTCTGAGATGGAAAGGTTGACGGTTGTGTAGATCCTCCACCTTCTCCTACCCATCCAGGACCAAACTTAACTCCAGCAGGTAAAACAGTTTCTAACTTCTTAGTAGCTACTTTCCAGACAACAGGCCCAAGATTTGCAGCAAATCTGGCAAGGCTTCTAGCGTATGCATGCTGCTCGAAGTGAATACCTACCTGCATTATAGTCGGATAGCATGGTTTGAGAAAGACAACAGCAAAAATATCACACACAATCACAAGAAAATTCATCATATTTCCTTTTGCGGATTTTCTTCTGGACGGGGTGGCTGGGTGGGACAACAACAATGATAACATAATCTGTGAAGAGTGACACTAGACCACTGATTAAGGCAAATTGTCCCCACTGTTTGACTGCATGATCGGAGGATCAGCCGAAAAAAGATTTTAAAAAGGTCCAGCATGAGAATGTGTTGCTACACCTATTATTTTACTGTGCAATAGAATAGTCAATAATGCTTGCCTATCCTATCTAGCGTGCGAAAACAAGAACTTTCTTGGGCAGTACCGTTGATATACAAGTAACACAGAAGTGGAAAGGACTCACTGGACCAACAAACTTCAGATTTGTTTTTCTGGATTTCTCGTCAAAGTCTAGTAATGGATAAGATAAAAAAGGGTAGCCCCGTGCACTAAGCTCCCACAATGAAGAAGCCAGCCAAAACATCCACAACACCACGCACTCCTTGAAAGCAGGGAGAAAACGAGACAGCCAAAAAAAGAAAGCAAAGCAGCATAGGCTGTTTAGTACATACTGCCATTAACCGCTTTAGGTCTCCATCAGCATTCCACAACAAAGATGCCTCACCACAAGAAGCTGAAGGATGGAGTAGTTCGTACGTGTCACGCCTATTTTCATCAACTGAAAAATGCTTCTTTCCATACTTCATATCAGCCCTCAAAATGGAAGCTGCGGGTAACAAAATAAATAAATTTTTTCATCAAACCAAAAAAATAAAAGAGACTGCAGAAAAGTGAAAAAGAGTACAAGGTCAAACCTGGAAATTCATTATTCCAATCAATCGACCATTCAGAATGAGTTTCACCATTGCGAGAGCGAAATGTCGAGGATGTATCAACAGAGCGGAACTTATAAAGCATAGGTCCCTTTCGTAGATTGTAAGAGTTAGATCCATTGACTTTTTCCTCTGCACTTGCAAGAGTGGCACCTGAAGAAAGCTCAGGACCAATACAATCAATGGGTGAACTCTCAACAGAATTTTTTAGGTTTTTGCTTGGGGGCGGAGAACTCTCCTCAGACTTCTTAATATTTTTGCTCGGGGGTCGGCCTCTGCGAACAACCTTAGGTTGCAACTCACCATCCTCCCCTTCATGTCTCAAATTATCAAAATCTCTTTTTGCTAGATCTTGAATAGATCGTGCCTAGAAGCAAAGGTTTAATTGAAATAAGTGAAAATGAAATGACTCTTCAAATTAATCAAATTAACGAGTTCAGGGAAAAGTGGAAGCAAAATTAAAAACAATCAGGAGCAGACAGAAGCTAAAGCTCACCTGCCGAAAGTAAACAGTATCTGGGGCATTATACTGCATTGCATTTGAACATATTAAGAAGACATCAGCCTGCATGAGCCAAAATCATACAAGAGGTCAGCATCAAATTCAGTTAACAACTCCAGCAGCAGCACAAGCACAATCCCGCCCCATCAAAAATAAAATATACGAGGAAAATAAAAATTGTGACAATGAAAGTATCACAGAGTGAGAAATAAGAACAAACCTAAAACACAAAATGGAAAATAAGATACCAGGACTAGAGAAACTTTACAAGAATGTCCGAAGGCTGAAGATTCATAGTGTATTTGGAACCATTTACATCTCCTTATGTATACCTTTTCTAAATGCATAATAAATTCCGAAATTCGAGACTTACATATGCTTATTGTACACTTACAACTTCTTTACATTGATACTCTTTGCTTTTTCTTTTTCTTTTTCCTCTTTTGATCTCAATTGCCAATTCTCCACCAGACACGGTAAAATGGACATATCAAAGAGCCACTAAAGACAATAATAGTGTTTCTAATTCACAGCATATCATGTGACCCTAATCACTAGAAAACAATGACATAAAAAGTTTTAAATATAAATTGTAGATAGAGCCCTGAGCTTCTTCAATCAACCACATTTTACCAGAACAAATCACTCATCCATGTAATCTTCCAAAAAGCACAAAAAAATAATCAAGAAACTACCGAGAATGAAAGAGGATCATGAGGAAAAGTCTCGACTTCTCAACCAACTAAAAATAATTATAGGAAACCAATTCCGCACGAAAGGTTGGACAAGGCCAAGAGGAAGACAATGAACTTGTTCAACAGCTTCAGCGTTACTGAGAACAAATCAAACACAAAAGTTTCAATCCTGTAGCTTCTTTTGTTTAAGATAACATTATTGACAACTTTATTTTTGCTACACTATTTACAATTACTGTAGCAGTGTAGCCTTCAGAATTTGGTCGAGACATTAGGATCAAAAAGCAAGTGACTCTAATGTCTATGAAGGTCTTCGTGTAGCCAGACATCTTTTGTACCTACAATTTTTAAACCAATTGCCACTATAGTTCTCTTCCCTAAACTTCTACAAACGACCAACAGTGCAAATATTGAACTGATAAATCCAAGAAATTTTATCCCCACTTAATTACAATAATTTTCTGTGGTGTTCAAAAATTTCTTAAATAATCAACAAATATCAAGATCACCAGGTCAAATCTCACAAACAGAGAACTCTAACCTAAAAGAAGATTGTGCTCAGCTCAATGTGCACAGGTACTTTTTTTTCTTGGAAATGGAGTCATATGTATGTTTTTTTTTTCTAAAAAACAGGCAGCAGAAAACATCAGCGGAAAGGTCAATCTGCAAGTTAGCATATTAAAATATCATAGTCAATAGTTGTCTCCAAAGTAAGCGATTCATCATTCAGTATTATCAAAGGCGAAAAGCGCAAAAAAGCTCTAAGGTCTTTTGGGGCTATAAGCGCAAAGCACAAATAAAGCATGACTTTAATGAAAAAAGGCGCAACTGGAGAAAAAGCAAAAATATGCATATGTAGTCTAAGAACAATAATTATAAGCATGAATAACAAATATATGGACAAGGAAATTGAAAAAAAGAGGTGTCGCCTTTTTAGGATTACACTCGTTGGCAAGTAAAAGTATGTCTTAGAGCCTTGATGCGACACTGAAGCGCCCACAAAGCGAGGCGAAGCGCTCAACATGTTTTGAGCCTCGCTTCAGGGCTTAAGCGCGCCTTTGACAACACTGTCATCATTAAAGGGGCAAAGTTGGATCCACGAGTACTACAAGCAACCAGAATTCAGCTCGGTAATCTATTACCGACCTCTAACTCTTCCAGGTTTGAGTAGAGTCCTTCATCAAGTTTCTTCCTCAAGGTTCCGAAATCCATAGGATGTTCTATAATCTCATGATAATCAGGTAGCTGCAAAGAAACTACTTCAGTATCTACTGAAAATATCATTAACATCTAATCAAATGTGTCCTTAGCAGAAATGTACCTCGTCCGGATCAACGGGCTCGGAGAACACACCATAAGTGTCCTTTCTGCATTTCATCATAGAAAAAACTAATACATAAGCCTAGTACTGAATTAAAAAGGGTCTGCACTAGTACAAGAAATAAAAGAATATATAAAGACCTAACATATGGAAACAAGAAAAAGAAGAATGAAAAGAAAAAAGAACATACTTTTGAAGTCTGTCAAGAATGAACACTAACAACTTTTTGTCTGGCAAAGGTGTTGTGGGACCAGACACCAGTGGCGACCCTGTCCAAGAATAAATGACACCAATCAGATAAAAAATCAATAACTGGGACTTCCAAACAAAAATCCTCTTTTTTCTTTTAATTAGAAGAGCGAAAAGCCTTTGAATTTGCACCATTTGAAGTGTCCATCGCTTTCAAAAGCTTTTCCCCCTGCAAAAAATTAATACATCAGGCAGTTGTTAGAACAATATCAGAAACTCCAATTAAGTGGGGTTACTAAAATATACATCAAGACTCAAACTTGCAGCTAAAAGGTTCTCTAGAAGCTGATAATTGAGCATAACGTCTTCACAAAAATCACAGCAAGTGCAAAAGAAGTGAGCTTTTGAAAACGGAGTGCTAAAATGAAGAAGAAAGATAAGGTAGAATCCTAATTAAAAGCCGTAAAAATTGAATTAATCACATTATGAATTTTCAAAAGTAAATGTAAAATCAAAGGAGCAGTGAGTGAGTCAAAATACATGCATACATTTCAGATCTCGAAAGTCAGAGCAAAAAAGGAACGTTGGAAGTTACGCGCCAAATCCAAAAAGTTTTGGATCACATAAAACCTCGAAATTTTCCCAGGAAAAACAAAAAAGAAGAATATAACTATTCCTCCATTTTTTTCCAAAAATAGAAATACATTGACTGACTCAATAAATTTTAATGGTTCAAAATATTCATATAAATATAGTAATAAAACCCCTCAACCAATTCACCACCTGATCAGCAACAGCGTCATCAGATCTGAGATCTACGGCGTCAATTTTCTGTCTTTTAACAGAAGTCTCGTTATCATCGGCGTCGGAATCAGAAAGTGAATTGGCAGAGGACGAATTTTGTTGAAAATGTTGGGGCAAACGGACAACGAGCTTGACTTTCTTCTCTTTACGTTCGTCGTCGTCGTCGATGAAGTCCGGTGGCGGAGAATTAGGGTTCCGGCGAGTGGATCGGCGGGGAGGGGTAGAAATGGAAGTTTTATTGTCACGTTTATTGAGATCTGAAAGTGAAGGACGGCCTTTCTTCTTCTTTCTCTTCATTTCCGTCGGCACTGTTGCTTCTACTTGTGCTGTTACTGTTTCTGCCTTACCCATTTTTCTTTCTCCTTATTTTCTCTCTCTGTTTCTGTTTCTCTCTTCAAACGGCTTTGATTATTCCTTTTTCCTATTTTTTTTCAATTTTTAATTTTTTTTTAATTTTTTTATACGTCCAGCTAAAAGAAAACAGAATAGTCAAAAAAAAAAAAAAAGTGAGCAAGGTGTGTAAAGCCTCATATGTTCCATGTGCTTATAACTAAATCAATTGTACTCATGACATATTCATTTGATTTAACGGATTGCAAATAGTTGATAAGTAATAAATATTAGTAGTGTTAACAAACTAAGCTCAAAATAATAACATAAAATAAGAAAATAGACAAGAAATATAGAGAGAAAGAGAGGAGAGAATCTATTTCTTCCATGTATTCAAGTGTGTACAATGTAATGCCCAAACCCTCTATTTATAGGATGATATAGGTAATACAAAGGGACTCCATAAACATGGTATTAACTATTGAGAACATGGGGAAGATCGTGGAGGTGTGAGAGTTACATCCATAATGGTAAGAAGTAGTGGGAGGTTAATGGAGAAGAGTAGTTGTGTTACTCCCTTAGGAGTTATGGACATCCACCATAATTAAGTATTTCATAACACTCTCCCTTGGATGTCCAAAGATAACGTGCCTCGTTAAAACCTTACTAGGAAAAAACCCTATGGGAAAAAAATCCTAGTGAAGGAAAAAGAGTACACATATCTGTAATACGCTTTATTTGCTGCCTCGTTAAAAACCTTGCCAGGAAAACCCAGTGGGATAAAACCTTAGCTAAGGGAAAAAGAGTACAACACATATTTGCCTCCCCCTGATGAAAATATCACGACGAATTCCAAGCTTGTCTAACAACTTCTCTAATATTGAGATCGGCAATGCCTTGGTGAATTATTCCGCCAAATTATCACTTGAACAAATTTCTTGAACATCTATTTCATCATTCTTTTGAAGATCGTGTCTGACAAAGAACTTTGATGAAATATATGATTTATTCAGTCTCCTTCAATATTCTTCTTTCAATTGAGATAAGCAAACATCAGGTTCTTCATTATTATTGGAATCTTCTCTTCAAAGAAAAGTCACGCATCTTGTGAAATGATAATATGACAATTCCTCACTTACAAATAGATTGTTTGAAGAATGGACTTCATTAAATGCCTGCATTTGCATAAACAACAAAATCTTGACAATATTTGTTAGAATAAACAAGTCTATATCAAGGATTCTTTTTGCAATATAATACTAATCATATTTCAATATCTCCATATAGCCTTTATAATCTTAGCTGTTGGGACTATTCGTCCAAACTTCATATTTTTCAGATGAAGTCAATTTTCATTGCATATTTTTCATTTGGCCAATCATTTATCTGTCCAAATTCCATGACAGATTTGAGCTCAAGATCCTAGTCAATATTAATAATATTGAGCGCTACATTATATTAACAACATCGTCAACGATCATTTTACATCGGTTCCATCATCACACAATAAAGACATAACTTATCTAGATCTCATTATTTTCAGGTACCTGAGCCTCTCCCATGAGGTCTTATAAAGTGTTATGTCATGGTGCTCTTATAAAGCACTTGCCTCCTTATTATGACCATCTTGAACATTTGCTCTCTCCTTCTTCAAGGAGTTTTATCTTTGGAACCGATTTGTCTATTACACTTCATGCGTGTCATAAACTCTATCCATCATGGACGTTATTCTATTTGGAGCATTAGCAGTTGGAATATGACATTTAGCTTTGGGTCAGCAATGTGCCTGAAAATATTTTGCAAATGAATTATCACTTGAACTTCAAGTTCATATTTTCTTGTACGAGGATCTAAGTATACTTATGATAATTCAATTAGTTTTTTCAGCTGCTCATTTTCTCCCCCTAATGTTGGGATCACCAACACATATCCCCAACCTTCTTTGGGGACCAATCTTTATGCGCATTGTGGTGGCACAACTAAATCATATAGTACATCCATATTTGTAGATGGAAATATTTGGTTCCTGACCCTGAACCAATTGTGATGGGGAGAGTGTATCATAACTTGTTGGCTAGATGCGTACAAGTGTTGTTATATATTAAATAATACACTTCATACAAAATTTCTATTTGAAGTTTTGTTCTCATAACCAATGGTTTAGCTATAACTGGAGGCAAACAATTTCTACTAAACCAACTTGGATTTAAACCAGCATTATCATCACAATTTACATTCTGAAATTATGCTCTAATAATTTGAGCAAGCAACCTTGCAAAAGCCAAGTTGCAAGTTGATAACCAAAGCACATGTGACCATACAATAGATGCATCTATTAAAATCATATAATAGTAAACGGTCCACATGGCAGGTGACTGGGCCCATATATATATATATATATATATATATATATATATATATATATATATATATATATCACCTTTTATTCGTTCCAAAAATCAGAGAATACAATCCCAACTCCAGCTGGTATAGTAATCATTTATCATGAGAACAAGTCGTACATGAGAATTCTCGAAGAATCTCCTTATTCTTCAATTTCTGCCAATGTAAATTCTCGATCATTTTTCGCATCATAATTAAACCTGGGTGGCCAACCGGTCATGCCAACTGATACTTATTTCAATAAACATCTAATTTAACATGGCATGTGATTCTATCATCATGCTTATACATGTGTAGTACACATAGAAGGAAAGTCGGGTAACCTTTCATATTTACCCGGTATGATTATAGTAATATGAAGATATTCAATCTTCATTACATTTATAGTCTCAAATGCCAACCACTTTGGCTATTATACTTAAAACTCAAAAAGTTTCTTTTGAGACTTACTACAATATCAATGTCATGAACAGTTTCATTTATCCGAGTAGTAACAAATTAGCTCTTTCAGAGCTCTTAATTTATTTTGTACTACAAGACTTTTTTCTCACCATCCATATGGTGAATGTCTCCTTCACGGAGAAAAACATATCATAATTATTGTCATGGTCAAAATCATCATAAGCAAAATCATTTCTTGCTTTAGTTTGCCTTTAACAACTTTTTATAAAGCATGACAATATATTTTTGGCGTACCACATGTACGCGACCAATGACATATTCATGTAACCACATTGTAATATTGATTATCTTTATTTCTCTCAAACCTCCCTTAGAGGTGAGTTGTGGTATTTATACAACCATGCATAAGCACATTCTTATGCATAATTTATATCACATGTATATTTTCATATTCACTTTCAGGAATGAGTCTGCATTTGCAATGCTTGTCACAAGTAGCATTCTTTCAAAAATGGACTATAATCGTCTGAGCGTGCCTCATATTTACAGACTATATTGATAGATAATTCCTTCACCTTTGAATGATTATTTTGAGAACCCTTATTGTTCTCTTTTTTACATTTACCATAATGATGACTATATTATTTTGTCGCTTGCCATGCCCTCGTACATTCATACAGTCATGAAACATTATTTTCATTAGTCATCATTAGATCATCAATATGGTGCATTGGGACTCAAACCCAATACCTTACCCATATAAAGGCATGTTAGGCTATAGTGAGTTGGGACTCAAATCCAACTCTTATCATCATAGTGCATCAGGACTTGAACCCAATGTCTTACCCTTATGGTGCGTTGGGACTTGAACCCACCGTCTTACCCTCAGTTAAAAGTTTACTGGAATTCACCCTCGAGCATTTAAAAATATACCACTTTGTGATTACATATTGTTTTATAAATTTTCATTCAAGCCTCATCGAGATGGTGAAAAACAAATCAAGTATCACATACTCAATTTTTTTCAAATAACATAAAAAAAATTTAATAATAATACATAAATTAGTTTTGCCACAACTATGAAATATAAATATTAGTTTGTATAAACTAACAATTATCTGTATTCGAAGTTGTGCATGCATATAGAGGTGGTAGGATTACGGTAATATATAAGTTAAAGAAGTTAGAGGAAGAAATCTTACTTAATTACCGTCGTAGCAATTACCTTTTATTGCAAACTATCATCTTTAATTTGCAGTGCAACAAAAAATATTATAATTGAATAATGATAACAGTTCTAAATCGGTCTAAATATTCTTGGACCATTAGCATATACTAGTTATGCATTAAAAATGAAGTGAAGGAAACTTACCTCATATATATTGTATGGAGAAAAAAATTAGTTAGACAAGAAAAATTTAATTACTATAACTGAACAAGGTGCTATCTGCAGGATTTCGTCATTCATAATCTTAATACCCACCTTGGATACCGTCTTCTTGCTGGAACTAAACCTTTTGTGAATCGTTACGAGGGATGCCCTCCTTTCAAGTGTCATATCACACTTCATCATACATCATAACATAAGGAGGATGCATCGTGCTGATAACGTGTTAACAAACTAAGCTCAAAGTAATAACATAAAACAAGAAAATAGACAAGAGATATAGAGAGAAAGAGAGGAGAGAATCTATTTCTTCCATGTAGTCAAGTGTGTACAATGTGATGCCCAAACCCTCTATTTATAGGATGATATAGGTAATACAAAGGGACTCCATAAATATGGTATTAACTATTGAGAACATGGGGGAAGATCGTGGAGGTGTGGGAGTTACATCCATAATGGTAAGAAGTAGTGGGAGGTTAATGGAGAAAGTAGTGGGTGTTACTCCCTTAGAAGTTATGGACATCCACCATAATCAAGTATTTCATAACAAGTAGTAAGTAATTTTAAGTGTTAAAATTAGTTTTATAAGTAAATTATCATGTGTAAAATTGATGAAACTAATAATAAATAATTGATATTTTTGGTTAAAAAAAGTACATTAATAAGTTATTTTTTTGGCGAATAGACCAAATACCCTTAAATTTTTCCAAAAAAATATAAATCTAAAAGTATCTATGTAATGAAAAGGTTTTGTGATTTTATTTAGGATAGGCAGAATACATAGCTGGAGCCTTAAACTTGATCGTTTTTGTCACTTGGACACCTAAACATAGAGTTGTTTCTATCAGGTCCTTCAACTAAACAACATCTGTGCCAATTAGATACT